TCAAATTCCCTTTATATCGGATTGTGTAATGTTAATCACCCATAGGAGCGTTCGGTGCAGCAAAAAACCCTCCCTTAAATCGAATTCCCCTTAAATCGGTGTCTCTTAAATTGGAGATAACCTGTATAATTGTTTAACAATTAACTGTAAAATTCTAACTGTAATGTGTTGTTACAGTTATATACAACTTTTATTAAAAATTATCAAGCGTAATTTGTGTATCACAAAATAACCAATATCATAATAAACATTAACATTTTGACTGTTGATAATTTGCTAACTAGTTATTTAAGCTAGATAATTTTATAACACTTTATCATGATGATTATTTAATATTATATTTTCATCAAGACACTTATTTATTGAAATATATAGTAATTGTAATCATTGGCGTCAATACAATGAGCACTACATGTTGTGTTTGCGGCGATACTAAACAAATCGGTAATACTGTTAATTACATTACAATTAAGACTAAATAATATTTATTTTAAATATAATTAAATCCATAATTAAGGTCGAAATTTTGGTGCCATTACTTGCGAGAGTTGTAAAGCGTTTTTTCGTAGGAATGCCTTCAAAAATATAGTGAGAAGTTTAATAATAATAATTATTACAAATTAATTAACTATTTTTAATTAATCGCATATTTTGTTGAATAGATGTTAAACTGTTTCTCCGGCGGGAAATGCATTGTAAACGTTAACAATAGGAGAGTTTGCCCCAAATGTCGACTCGAAAAGTGTTTCTCATCGGGAATGAAGACTGTATTTGAAATACTTTTAAATTGTTTTATATATTTATAACGAAATAAATTTTTAAATGAATTTTTTTTCGTAGGAATTAATGAGAAGTTTAGCCGAAAATGAAAAGCGAAAAAATAAAAGACAAAAAGTGGACACAAATGGCGCGAATTCAACGCCAATGAGCGGCGGAACCAGCGATGAATCCCAGGAACAAGTGATGGCCGAAGAGGTGGAGGAAGTGGTGGACAACGAGAATGAATGTCAAGAAATTGATAATTTAATTCGCGATCCGTTGAACATCACCGACGATGAGCTGTTCCAACACGTGATGGACATCAAGAGTCTGTCCGATAGTAACGACGACTTAATCAATGATATTAAACAACGAGTCGGCAAATACTCGACACTACCTATGGTTAGGGTTATCACGGATTACGAGGGTATCAATCAGTTGGAGAGGCGGCGTATCGACGACTTGTTGAACGCGTCCAGTGTTTTCAATTACGTTATACCCAGCGATGGTATAGTGTATCAAAATGACCATGGTCTAAATAAGCAACTATATCAGCAATTATATAAAGCACAGCAACACAATAGTCGGGCTATAGATGTGGTAAATTTCACCAAACGTTTGGAGGGGTTCACAAAGTGCTGCGCCGACGACCAGTTGTCGCTCGTGAAGTACGGCTGCGTTGAACTCATTTATTTGCGCGGCTTTAATATCAGCCACAGTTTGGCCCAATGTGTGCACATTTTTATGGTTAGTTAATTGTATTTATATTTTTATATTTACATTGATGTTAATTACAATTTTAATTGTGTTTTAATATTTATAATATACGTCCAAAATATACAGATGTTATTACAGGACAGCGAAACCGATGTCTACTATTTATTCAAGAAGTTTGCCGATAAATTTGTGCCCAATTTTGATGATGATATGATTATTGCCAACCTGGTACATTTTATTTTATTAATATCTATTAATTGCGATAATTAATTTTATTATTTACCTAGTTGACTGCCATCATACTATTTAATCCTAATCGCAAGGGCCTGACACATAAAGTTAGTATTAAGTAAGTGTATTAAAAATTAATTAAATTGTTTATATTACTGTATATTTACTCGTATTTAATTGTATTGTTTGTTAGACTCGAACAACAACTGTATATATATTTACTGCAAAGATATCTACTATTGAAATACGGATCCGAATCGCAGATAAGACTACAGGCGCTGATGACTGGGTTAACAGATCTGAGAATTGCCACAGAATTACATAAACACAATAAAATGTGTGTAAATCACGAGAACCATGAGTTGGCTCATGATTTCGGGCAACTTTCCCGAGAGATCCATGAATTGTAACATTTTGAATACAAATTACATTTTTGTTTTATTATTTTTAATTACATTTAAATATATTTTATTAAAATTCAAAAATATGAAATAAACTAAAATGTATTGTATGTATAAATTTTATGTAAATAACAAATTAAATGTTACACTACTTTGTTATCTCTTTTCATTTGTTTTAGGAATACTTATTAACATTTGAAATAAATTATTTTTGATTATTGTACTATTAATAACTAGTTGCTTCAAACCAACTTAATGTTGCATCACATTTTACATTGTATTAATAATGGTACAGAAATCATGAAGGTATTAGTAAAAATTATAATGTCAATCATTATAAAATACTTTGTGTTTAGCCTTGGATATAAGTACACAAACATTATAATGATCGTAGCATAACTACAGTATACACTATACAGAATTATATTATAAATAGTAATTGTATATGATCAATTTAAAATAGCATATAAAATCATAATTTATGAATTTGTACAACATTTTCAGTTTAACTTCATTTATGTTATTATTAGTTTTGATGATAATAATCGGCAATTGACTTAACACTTGCAAAACACTGATTTAATAATAAATAAAGGTATCTATAATTAGATAAATAGTATTCAAAATAATATGTCTGTTAATAAAAGTGTGAATAAAATGTGTGAAGTTTGCGGAGACAACAAAGGAGTCGGTATGAGATCTGATTGATTCAAATAATTATTTTTAAAAACTATATAATTAAAAATCTGATGTAATTTCTCTCTAAAATAAAGGTCGAAATTTTGCTGCAATTACTTGTAAATCATGCAAAGAATTCTTTCGGAGAACTGCATTGAAAAATATTGTAATATTTGATTAAATTAAATAATTTTTAATGAAATTATATAATTATTATCATTTAATTACAGACACTTGAATGTCCCGCAGACAGCAAATGCAATATAAATCGGTCGACAAGAAAGTTGTGCCAAAAATGTAGACTTAATAAGTGTTTTGCCGTCGGAATGAAAAAAGTATTTTAAAAGTTATATTATATTTTTAAATAAGTGTTTCAGAAATATTTATTTATAATTATTTAAGGAATTCATTCGAAACGATGAGGAAAACAGGACTCGAAGGCAATTAATTATCAAAAACAAACTTAAACTAAATCAAGACATAGAGAGTGACGATAACACTATCGACAACAGTATCAACGACTCCAGTGATGGCCAAAGTATTGGCGACAAAGACTTATTGCAAGAACTGATAGAAACAAGCATTGAATTGAGTGACGACGAGCTCCACAAAGACATCGATGTAATCCAGTGTATGGCCACAAAAGACACGATCGATGACCGGGAAGTGGTCCACGTGTTTAGCAAACATGACTACGATATCAAACCCGTATTCCGTGAGCTCACAGACTATAACGGCTTGAATCAGCTCGAGATGTGTCGGGTGTCGGAGCTGTTGACCGCATCCCAAGTGTTGAACGATTGGATGACACAATCGGTGCCTAAGAATGTTGTAATCGTGAAAAAGAGCACAACATTATATCAATTAATGAGAAACCGATACGAGTGGGTGATTGAAAGGTTCGCTACATTTACCAAAATGTTAAACTCGTTCACTTGTATAGCACCTGATGATCAGCTTTCGCTATTCAAGAACTCGTGCGTTGAGTTGTCATGCCTGAAAATGTTTACCGAGTTTAATGAACAAAGCATGATGTTCAATATGAGCTTGGTAAGTCACGCATTCATCTGTGTTAAATTTGTTAATATTTAATTAATAATGAATTATTACTTTTATTAACAAATTTATAGGACGACAAAAATTCATTAGTATTTGATTTGGATTGTGTTAAAGTAAATAAACGAAATATTTTTAATTTAAATGCTATATTTTATACTAATCTAAGCGAAGTATGGGATCATGATCTTATCATCATTTATTTGGTAATTATTTTATTTATTATTATACAATCATAATAGTAAATAGTATAGTAAAATGTTATAATAAACAGATGATGACAATTTTACTATTTAATCCAAACCGGCCGGACCTCAAGTACAGGCATTATGTCAAGTGAGCAATAAATTTGATATTTAATTGTGATTTTAATTGTGTTAATAAAAATTTAAAAAAATTATTTGTTAGACTCGAACAACAACTGTATATATATTTACTGCAAAGATATCTACTATTGAAATACGGATCCAATTATGAATCGGAGACAAAACTTCAACGACTAATGAATTCATTGAAAGAATTGAGAATTTGTAGTGAAATCCATAAAATCAATGAAACCGAAGAAATACGAGAAGATTTGCAAAACTATGGACCACTTGTTAAAGAGGTCTATGACTTATAATATAGTCTGTAATACCAGTACTAACTGTTAGTAATATAATAATTGTAAACATTTAATTATAACTGTTATTGTGTTAATATGTCATAAATATTGTTTAAAAAATTAAACATTATTTAAATCTAAATAAATCATTCATAATTAACCTACGATCATCAAATTATAAATTATTAAAACACCTTAATTGTTTCATGAATTGCATATCTACCATATCACTTAAGCCGCAATTTAATTCACATATTAAATCATCATTTATGAATTAGTCAAACGTTTTGTCTTTACCTTCATTTATGTTGCCATTAGTTTTGATGATAATAATTGGGAATATAGTTAACAAATGTAAATATTGTATTAATATCTAGAATAGCTAGTTATAACTTATAAATAAATATTTAAATAGTATTTTAAATATTATGTCTATTAATAAAAATATAAATAAATTGTGTGAAGTTTGCGGAGACAATAAAGGAGTTGGTATGAGATATATTGTAAAATAATTAATTTACTAAACAATGCAATTTCTATCATAAATAAAGGGCGAAATTTCTCTGTAATTACTTGTAAATCATGCAAAGAATTCTTTAGAAGGACTGCACTAAATAATAATGTAAAATTTAATTTTTATTTAATTTTTATTTATCTAAAAATCCATTAAATAATTACAATCTTCATTATAACAGACATCTGACTGTCCGTCAGATAGCAATTGCAATATAAATCGTTTGACGAGAAAATTGTGCCAAAAATGTAGACTTAATAAGTGTTTTGTCGTCGGAATGAAAAAAGTATTTAATTATAAATATTTTGAAACTTTACTTAAAACTACTTTTTAATATTTTATTTCAGGAATTGATACGAAATGACGAGCAAAACAGTACTCGAAGGCAATTAATTATCAAAAACAAACTTACATTAAATCAAGACATAGAGAGTAACGATAACAGCATTGGCAACAGTATTATCGACTCAAGTGATGGCCAAACAATTGGTAACAAAGATATATTTCAAGAACTGTCGGAAACAACTATTGAATTGAGGGACGACGAGCTCCACAAAGTGATTGATGTAATGCAATGTATGGACACAAACGACACCATCGATGACCGAGAAGTGGTTCCGGTGTTTAGCAAAATACGGGACATTAAACCCGTGTTTCGTGAGCTCACAGACTATAACGGCTTGAATCAGCTCGAGATGTGTCGGGTGTCGGAGCTGTTGACCGCCGCCCAAGTGTTCAGGCATTGGTCCACACAATCGGCGCCGAAGAATGTAATGGTAATGAAAAACAGAACAGAATTAAAGCAAATAACGAGAAACACATCTGAATTGGATATCGAGATGTTTAGTAAATTTACCAACATGTTAAACTCGTTCACTTGTATAGCGCCTGATGATCAGCTCTCGCTATTCAAGAATTCGTGGGTTGAATTGTCATCGCTGAAAATATTTACCGAGTTTAATACACAAAGCATGATGTTCAATATGAGCTTGGTAAGTCAAGCAACAACTGTTTTAAATTTGTTAAAATTTCATTTGTAATTAATTGTAACAAATGTGTTATACTGTATATCTATAGGACGACCATAATTCATTGGTATTTGATTTGGATTGTGTTAAAGTAAATAAACGGAATATTTTTAATTTAATAACAATATTTTATACTAATCTAAGTGATGTATGGGATCATGATCTTATCATCATTTATTTGGTAATTATTTTATTCATTATTATACTGTACAATCATTATAAGATACTGTATATTATCATTATAAAATGTATAATGTAAAATGTCTATTTCATTAACAGCTGATGACAATAATACTGTTTAATCCAAACTGGTCGGACCTGAAGTACAGGCATTATGTCAAGTGAGCAATAAGTTTGATATTTAATTGTGATTTTAATTGTGTTTAAATGTTTGTTAGACTCGAACAACAACTGTATATATATTTACTGCAAAGATATCTACTATTGAAATACGGATCTAATTGTGAATCGGAAACAAAACTTCAACGACTAATGAATTCATTGAAAGAATTGAGAATTTGTTGTGAAATCCATAAAATGAATGAAACGGAAGAAATACGAGAAAATATTCAAAACTATGGACCACTTGTTAAAGAGGTCTATGACTTATAGTACTGGCAATAGCGTTGCCAAACATACAGGAATTTCTTATATTATGCAGGAATTAAATAATCTTCACAGAATACACGAAGGGATAATTTTTGCACATTGAAAAATATATGAATAATTATTTTGAAAATAAGCAAATAGATAGTTTTGGTAAAATCGTTAATATACTGTCTTGACATATTGTTTAAATATAAATGTATATTTCAGTATTACTGTAGAAATGCATAACAACTTTATATTACTGTTATGTCATTAAAAACTTATTCATTTATATTTATAATAATTTGTAATTAATTTTATAATTATTATAAGTTGTTCTATATCTCAATAAATTTTAATTAATTGGATTTTAATTTTATTTCAAATATTTTCGTTATATACTTATTCTGTTTCATTAATTAATTAGTGATATATTAACCATAATTAACTTGGGCAACACCATAAGCAATAACTAATGAAGATAAAATTAATGTATTGATTCTTATTATTAAGCAACTAATGATATTAATAGCCTATT